GTTGTGTTCCATCGGAGGTAGTTGCAGGGGTGCAAGCCCCAAGGAGGAGTGGGGGCCAGGTATGACTGAGGTTGTCTGAGCCTTGTCAGGGTTTGAGACCCTGAGATGGGGCACCAGTCATGGTGTGAGGTACCCCAGCTCCCCACATCCAGTGAAGGGGAACCCAGAGAGAGTGTGGGCCTAGTGAGGCTGGAGGTAGAGTGCCCCCTCAACTGGTCCTTGCTGGGGCCAGGACCAAGGTCAAAAGGGCCAGGCGCCCACCACGAAGGGCACCCAGAGTCATAGGCCTGGGACCCCCGCCTGGCCTTTGAGGTGAGGCCAGGGCCTGTGTATGGCCAAAGGTCCTGAGTGGGGATCACACCCATGAGGGGGGCCAGCTATGAGAAGCTTGGTAGCCTGGATGAAGGCGGCGTAGGCCGCCTGAGTGGAGGGTTTACAGGAGGGTCCTGCTAGGAGGATCCTGGAGCCTAGTGTGGGGCTGGTGTGCTTGATAACTTCTAGCCCTGGGTGAGGGGCAGTAAGCTAGCCCCAAGGCAGCGGCAGAGTTGTGGAACCCCAGTGAAGGGGTAGCCCCAGTGAAAGGGGCCAAGATCAGGAGCCTCCTGTGAGGGGTGGTGTGCTAGCCCCAAGGCAGGGCAGAGTTGGGTAAGATGTTTCGACTCACCTAACCCACTGCCCCTTGACCATGCGAGTGGCCCTCCTCTGGACTGGATTTCCCAGTAGCAAAAAAAAATAAAATCCTAGAACAAAAGCAGTGCAACGCACACCAAAGTGGTGAGCACCAGTACAAATGTAGAGATGAGTGAGCAGGCAGGGCTTCCTGGTCTTCCCTCTCTGCACACTGCTGAGGCCCCCTGCACCCCGGCCAGCGAACATACGGTACCTCAAGATAGGGAGGAGGCAGCCTTGGGTTGGCTGCTCCCTGTCTGCATGCCTCAGCGTGGGAGCTTCACTGCAGAGCCCCCATGCTAAGGCACGTGGAGCCCTGCACTGAGGCACACTGTGCCCCAGCGAGCCACGGAGCAGATGGCTGGGGCGCAGTGTGCCTCAGCGCAGAGGCTCCATGTGCCTCAGTGCAGGGGCTCTGCTGTGAAGCCCCAGTGCTAAGGCACACAGAGATAGGGAGCAGCCAGCCCAAGGCAGGGAGCGGCTGGCTGGGATGCAGTGCGCCTCAGTGCAGGGACCCACAGTGCGAGGAGATGGGGGAGCAGGTACTAGGGGCTGCCTGTTCCCCCATCTTCATTTGCCACTCCCCAGCTGGCCAGGATATCGGGTACCTCAGCACAGGGGATGGCTGGCCCCTGCTGAGGCACCCTGTGCCCCAGCCAGCACCCCCTGCAACAGGTGAAGCCACGGGACAATGTGTCTGCTACAAAGCACATGGGCATGGGTGTGCACTGCAGCACAAATTTGTGCCACTACTATTTGTGGGCACACCTTTGCTCATGTGGACCTGGCCTATGAGTACCTCATGACAAGAATGGATTCTCTACCTGCAAACTATATGGAATCTGTCTCCTCCCTACTTGTTGGTGGCAAAAGAGGCCCTTCACGGTACCCTCAATACAGCTGGTACAGCATCTTGGTCTATAGCTACAGCGGTGGTGACAATCTCTATAGATTGTCAGGTTTCCTGGAGGTGAACCAAGCATCAGCAGAGGACTTTGCTTTTCGGAGATAGAGTTTTTCAACACTAAAACAGACTAAATGCTCTACGCATGTGGTAGATGACCTAAGTGTAGTTTGCGACCAATTCTAAGTAACTCAATTAAAATGTAGGAGTTTGGAGGCATAAAGATGTCTCTCTAGTCCTTTAATGGGGTACTTAGGTGTTGGAATCACTCCTACACTTCAGTCCAATAACTCAGGGTCAGTCACAAGCCATACTGTTATTATCTACTAAGTGAAATGGAATTATGCCCTTAAAGGCTCCAGAGTGACCCTACAATCCAAGAATTCTTCAGGTATGTTTCAAAGAAAAAGCTGCAGTTTCTCTGGGTAGTGGAATCCCTCTCAAAGGACCTTGAACATGGGTGCTGGACACAGTGGCAAATGGTTACACCATTCACTTCACCTCGTTGTCTCCCTTAAAACCTCCTCCTCCATCTCTTTTCAGGAATCCCTTCATAAGTTTGCTCCAGCATGAAGTTGAAGCCCTGTTGTCTGTGGAAGCAATAGAAAATAATGCCTCCACATCTGGGAAAAAAGGCACTTAACAATGGCTACTCCCTTGTTCCAAAGAGAGGTTGATGAATTTATGGATGCTCAATTCATTAATTTGCAAGCTCAAGTTCAAGTTGGTGACTATGGTGACCATAATACCATTGTTGCAACAAGGGGAATAGCTTGCATCTCCCAACCAAAAGAATATGTACTTCCACTTTTATATAAAATCTACCAGAGTCAATACCATTTCTTTTATCATGTTGCAGACAGAATTGTCACTGAGAGTGAGGCTTTGGAGCTTCAGGCAAACTTATCTATATGCTGTTTTCCCCTTTGACCCAAGTGGTTTGTCAGAATTCAGAGTCTCATAAGCTATTCCAGTTAGGAGTCAAGTGCGGGATTCAGGTTGCTTTGATGCAATTCTGTCCAGTTTCAAGAATGTATAAAGTTCTGCTTTGAATATAGGAGAAACTAATTAACTATAGACAGTTTGCTAAGTAACAGCTTCAAATATTTTTCAGTCAGCACCTAGACCCAAAGCCTGCTATCTAGACTTCTCCCATACCAGCATATCAGTGCTGGGTCAGTCTTTCTTCTTCATCTTTCCCTGAGCTTAGCATCTCCTTTACTGTCTTACATCTACCCCTCCCCAAACAATATTTGACCCCAGCCTCTCCTATTAGAGCATTCAAATTCCAGAACAGCTTGGCATTTATCTTTGGTTTAGACCAGTGAGTCCCAAAGTATTCCTCAGCATGACCCCATTTATGACCTCATTTCCTCAGCAAGGTGACTCACTCCCAACCAACAGCCCCCCACCCCCCAGGTGCCCCTCACTCCCAACCCACAGCCCTCTGGCCCTGCACCAGTGCATTGCAGCCCTGTGCCCCACTGTGGGCACAGAAATCTCGTAATCCCAATTGTTGATGTTGTGACCCCATTTGGGGTCATGACCCACAGTTTTGGGAACTGCTGGTTTAGACAGAGGCATGCTTTTATTAGTCTGTTATAGATTTCTTAAATGATAATAATGTAAGTTGACCAGTCTAAACAAGGCTTAAAGCAGTCACTGCAATATCATCAATTCTGCCCCGCTGACACTTTATGGATAGAATTATTGCTACATGATGGCGATTAGCAGCTCCCAACACTTTTTGGCAGGGAGGAGGATTCTATTAAGACTTCTGAAGTGAGATCTCAGTATTCAGTCTGGGTGCCATTTTGCTGCAATTAAAATTATCTCCACTCTGTGACAGGATGCAGAGACCCTTTAAGCATTCAGAAAGGGCAACTAGCCATGTTTGACAATAAAGTGTAGGCAGAGTGAATCGGAGTCCTGGATGGAGGCCCAGCTGGGAGCATTTACAAAGGGTTGTGTGACTGTAGTATGTTTATGTTCTGAAATGAAAGAGGCAGTATTATTGTTATTTAACTTCCTTTGCTGAAGGTAGTGGGCAGAGGGACCTTTTAGTGTAAAGGAAAATTCCAAATAAGGACTGGTTTATTTGCTATGGCTGTGGCACATGCTAAACCAGTTGGCAGAATGCATGACCAGCTCACAAATTTTGTAAAGTCAGTGCAAGATTTATGGTTGACTTCAGTGAAGACACAGGATAATAGGAAGAATTACATTTTCAAAAGTGCCATTGTGATTTTGGGTACATCTACATTGCAAACTTAGCATTCCTGGCAGTGGGGTCCGTAAGAATGCTGCACTTTGGAAAGGCTGCCTCCTAAACTAGAAACATTTTAGTTGCTTCTGCGTGTTGATTCTGGCAGACTGATTAGCCTATGAGAAGGCTGACTGGCCCTGTTGCTCAGTCTCTGTACTAAAAGCAGCCACTCAGTACAATGTAGAGTGCTTGAGGGTACCACTTGCTAGGCAAGGTATTATCACTGAGCATACATAGTTCTATGAGCCTAAGTCCTTCTTTATTTTTCAAGGAAATTTGGGCTGAGTCTATGTTGAAAACTAGACATGTTTCCTAATGACTTTCAAAAGCCTTTGAAAATTTTAACCTGAGTGGGGGCTTTTATAACTGATCAAGAGTCACCAATTCTGAGATCTTTATCACAACATTATATGAAAATTAGGACAGTTTATTCTGCTAATTTGTGTGCACACTTTATTTTCTAGCAACAGGTAGTCCAGATTGCTGTTTAATTTACATGAATTTCAAATTTCAGACCACTGGCATTCTTGATTTAAGAATATATCTAATGAGACTGTATCTAATGAATCACTATTTGGATTAACACAGTGTGGTTACAGGATACCATCTATAGACATTTATGCATTTGAATTTTTATTTTCTATGTAGATTCCATTCATTTCCTTTTTATTCTGTGCCTTCTGTATTAATTTCTTTTTCCATTCCTATGCCATAAACATTTTAATAACTGGAATAGGAAAATTAAAATGTTTTTGTAACTTGTATATGGCCACCTGTGCCCTATAATTAGCATGTTTATTGTGAAATATCCTGAAATGTTAGGCTAACTAATGTTCTGCAAAATCAGAACCCTGTACCACTCTTGCAGCTTATTTTGTAGTGAACAAATTAAAATAGCTTTACAATATTTTAAATACAATCATCACAAAATGGCTGCAGCATTTCCTATAACTGAACTGAGCTTTGATTGTAATAGTCATATTACTTTAAAACAATAAAAAAATCTTTTCAGGTGCGTAGAGCTGATGCAGCTACTGGCTGTGCAATATAAAAACAGAGCTAGATTGCAGTATAAAGCATGTATGGAGTCTTGTATTTTGTATTGCACTGTTATTAACATATTACCTAGGAAACTAATCTGAATGTATGTTTTGTCTGTAGGAAATGATCTCTTTCTGGTTGCTGTCCATGAGCTGGGTCATGCCCTAGGCCTTGAACACTCCAATGACCCCAGTGCTATCATGGCCCCTTTCTACCAGTACATGGAAACACAAAACTTTAAACTCCCACAGGATGACCTTCAAGGAATTCAGAAAATCTATGGTGAGCAACACTAGTAATTTATTTATTTATACTTAGCTGACATTGGGTATTTTCTAGATACGTAAAGATACAAATTTTCACACAAAATGCTTACAGTCTGCAGATCAGATTATTTATGGCAGGCAGGTAGTTGAGGGGTCTTCAGGACACTAATTAAAACTCCCTGATTTTCAACTTGAATCCAGCCTTGGGCTGTTTTAATACTCCCCAGCTGGTAACTCTGTTCATGATATGACTGCTCCTTCCTGTCCAAAAGGCTACACCAGCTGTTTTATCTGTTGGGAATGCCCTCAAAGGCATAGTCCTGGGAATCAGTTTCCATTTCTATATCATTTCCTAAGGCAGTGCATACAGAAAGGAATATGCCAGAGAACGTAGTACATTAAGGAAAATAAATACCAGGGATCAGGAATCTATGGTCCGTGGAATCATTAGATCCAGCCTGCAGACACTGGGCTTCAGCAGTATTCAGTGGCAGAGGGTTTCGGCTGTGGGTGCTTTCCTTGTGGGGAGAGGTTGTGTCTTTGTTTACTTCTCAATGCTTATTTTTTTCAAAATTAGTAATTAAAGTTACAATGCACATCTGAAGTTACACTATAAAGGAGGGATCTAGAGAGGAGGAGAAGGTATTGAAGAAAACTGATGTGGAAAAATGGTGTGGAGCCAAGATAAGTGTAGGAATGAAAGTGTAGTTTGAGGGCAGAGACTTCAAATAGCATGAGAAGAGATAAATGCTTGACAGACAGGTAAGAGTGATAGGGAAGGACAGTATTTTAAGGAACAAAGGGTCTCGTAACTAGAGGTTAAATGAGGTTATAAAGTTACTAAATCCTACAGAAGACTGTTACAGCTTTTGCTTGTAAAAGACTGGCATTCTTTAGCTACTGCTAGGAGACAAAAGTGTTTTTTCCTTAGCTGTATTTCTGGGGAAGAGGGTCCTAGAAGGAGTTGACTACAGTGTTCTATTTATATATTACAATGTAAATCTTTTGCTATGCAACTGGTTAAAACAATCCATAAATCCATAAATATTAGGCACTTGTGTAGCACAAATAAACAGCCCATTAAGTGTTAAATGCTCTCTAGTTCATTCTCTACTAAACCTAGGTTGCTCTCACTTTCCAGCAGAAGTTGTCGTACTTTTCTGAGAGGAATTTTCTCTTTACTCTTTGAAAAAAGTGAAACAATAATTTAAAGGGCAATCAAGATGACCTAGGTAATTATAAGCCTGTTAGCCTGACATCTCAGGGCAAAAACTGAAAATTCAAAAATGAAAAAACTGATACGGGTTCATGAAATAAAGAATTAAAGGAGGAGTGGTAAGGTAATAATATGTGACATTTTAAGGTGTTTGATTTAGTACCACATGACATTCAGATTGAAACGTTAGCATATGTTAACAATAAAGCACACAATAAATGGATTAAGAACAGATCAATTCATAGAGCTGAGAAAGCAGCTACCTGTGGGGAATCATTTTGAACTGGAATAGTTTATAGTAAGGTTCCACAGAGACTGCACTAGACCTAATACTATTCAACTTTTTCATTGGTGATTTAGATAAAAATGTTACTGGTAAAATTTGTGGGTAATACAAAGAATGGTAGAGTGATAAATAATGAGGAGAACCAGACAATCATACAGACTTATATTGATTGCTTCATACAGACGGTCCATGAAAATAAATTGTATGTTAATACAACCAAAGATGCAGAATTCTACAGCCAGGATCAAGGAATTCAGGCCAGTCATGCAGAATGGGGGACTTTATCTTGGAAAAAAAAAATCTGGATGGCATTTGGGGGTCATACCAGCCAAACAGCTGGACAAGGACTCCCAGCATGATGCTATGGCCAAAACAGATAAAGCAATCCTTCAATGTATAAGCAGGGATACTCTGTATATTTCTGGTGGCCACACTGTAAAAAGTTTTGGGAAAATTGGAAAGGATGCAGAAGAGAGCCATAAAAGTGGTTGAGTGGGAGAAAACACCTAAAAGAACTCAGTCTCTTAAAGACTGCCCTGTGGACAAACTCTACTGCCCACGGGGTGGTACTGGCCCCAAGCCAATACTCCCACCCACCTGCCCCCAGTGGGTGTGACCCTGCCCCACATAGCACCATGCTGGCCAGCCAGTTCCAATGGCCCCAGAAGACCTGATCCTGGCCTCAGCATGAAGACCTCTGCTTAGAGAGTTAAGCCTTTTTCCCTGTGTCCCACCAACTGCTTACATTCCTGTCTGGGGGTGGTGGAGGGGAGAAGGAGAAAAGGGGCTGCCCAGCACAGAGCCTGGAGCCAGCTGTATAATGCAGGGCCTTGGTGAAGCGGGGGAAGCCAGAGCAGAGCCATCCAGGTTCAGTGGAATCACAGAGCTCAGGGAAGCATGTTTTCTCAGACACCATGCTCCCACTTTGCTAAACCCTATGGGTGTACAGAAGGGAGCTGTGCCTAAGGGAAACGTACTTCTGCAGGCTTCATGCTCCTGTGTCATATTTAACACCAGTGGCTCCATGCTGGTAGCTGGAGCCTGTGGAAGCATGCTTCCCTGGAGCCCAGTCCCCTCCCATCCACCCCCACTACAGGACAGGACTTTGGGGGACTCAGGGAAAAGCTGGGCCCTCCCCAAACCTGCCTAAGAGAGAGCAGGGAAATGGGGCCTGGCAGTGTGGGAAAATTTCAGTTAATTTCTTGTAAATTGCAGTTCATTGAAGTTTTCTGCATCTTGTGCCTGGCCTAAAAGGAAACACACAGGCAGCTCTAAGCAAGGCTGGGGGGAGCTGGGATGGGGTGTGATGAGGTCTGGGTCAGCAGGGCTAGGTGCAGGTGGCTGGCAAAGAACTAGCCATCTGAACTCATCTTGGCATTCTACAGCCTCCTCTCCTCTCCACCCCCTGGGCCAGGAGGGATTATGGGAAGCTTGAGGGAAAAACTAGGGCATCCCTGAACCCTAACACCTGGGCTGGGAATGTTGGAGCTCGGCTTGGCTCAAAGGCTCAACACTTGCCAGCTCTCTCCACTTCCATCCCCAGCCAAGACAGGAATGCATGGCCCCCTTGCATCTCAGTCCCCCTTCCTAGCGTGCAACCTCCTCCTGATCCCAATCGCAACCCCACTGAACATTTCCCGGAGAGGAACATTCCCCAGTGGGGGATCATTGCAGCAGGGTGGTGCAGGGCCAGCTAGCTGGGCTTGACTAGTCTCTCCCCCACCCACAATTCATTAGTACACGAGAGAGTCTTTATTTTTTTTATATCTTTAATTTCTCTTCAAATAAAAATGCTTTAAATAACCTTTATATAAAAACACTTTACATAACCTTAAAGGATTTTAAGGAGACCAAAGAGGCCTGTAGAGGGAAGCCACAGTCCTCACACCCCCATACTTCTCCACTGCATGCCACTCCTGGTGCAGACAGAAGTGACAATTTTCACCAAATCTGGCCACAGAAAGCAGTTTACAGCCATGACCAAACACAACTGCATGACTGCAGACAGCTTTAAAGATGGCCTATTGGGTGAAAATCTGAACCCTTATTGTGTGAGTGGTCAGGTGAAGATGTTTCAAACAGCATCTTCTGTAACTTTTGCCTGTGCTGCCCCCCAACCTGCCAGTGTTTTCAGAAGGGGGGTGCGGGTCAGGGGAAAGGGGCCAGAGGGAGTTCAGTCTGGGGGTTTGGTGCTGGAGGGTGGGGGGTTCCAATACACACACCCTTCCCTCCAGAGCTGGCTGGGAACCCTTAGAATGAGCTCCCTCTCATCCCTTCCCCGCTCCCATTCTGAAACAGGGGCAGGCTGGGAGAGAGGAGGGACTGTTGCTAAGGGAAACCAGCTGCAGGCTCTTTGTACCAGGAGATCTTTGTAACTCAAAAGGCTTCCTGCAAAGTGTTCTCAGTTACACCAGGGAGCTGTACTGTCTGCACCCTCTCTGCTGCAAGCCCGCTCTCTCCCACTAACTCCCTCACCCAGAGCAAGGGTAGAATACAGCCCCTAGTTGGTGAGGCATAGGGGCATTGTGAGGCTAGGGGCTCCTAGCCATTCCCCTATCCTCACCAGCCATCTAGTGGTAAGTCAAAGCTGTGTAGGTAAGAAAAAGTATTAACCCTTAATGTGCAACTATTCACATCACATTCTAACTTTAATAGTGCTTAACATTCCACAGATTTCATCTGGTCTAAGTGTAATGTGTCACTTCACCCTCCTAAGGCAGACTGACCAGTGACTTGGGGTGAAAACAGATGTTACCTTTGTGCTGCCATAAAAAAAATTATAGAATCATAAGAAATTAGGGTTGGAAGGGACCTCAGGAGGTCATCTAATCCAACCCCATGCTGAAAGCAGGACCATCCCCAACTAGATCATCCCAGCCAAAGCTTTGTCTATCCAGTCTTAAAAACCTCCAAGGATGGAGCTTCCACCATCTCTCTGGGTAACCTGTTCCTGTGTTTTACTACCCTCCTAGTGAGAAAATTCATCCTAATATCTAATCTAAACTTCCCTTGCTAAAACTTGAAACCATTGCTCCTTGTTCTGTCATCTGCCACCACTAAGAACAGCCTAGCTCCACCCTCTTTCAAACCTCCATTCAGGTAGCTGAAGGCTGCTATTAAATCCCCTTTCAGTCTTCTCTTCTCTAGACTACATAATCCTAGTTCCCTCTGTTAGACCCCCGACTCCATGCGGCACCCAACGACTAGGGAGATGACGATCCAATTGCTCATGGATCCTGTTACTCATTAACCAGAGCATGCAGGGAGCAAACACCAGCACACATTGCTCGCAACGGCTTTATTCAGAATGGAGACAGCTTTGGGCGAGCTCCCTCACAGACACACAGCCTGTGAAACCAGGGAGCCACCACGAACAATAGTTCTTTCCACATTTATACACTTTGGTTGATGCTCATTAACGTTTGTTCCACCTCTGTCCCTCCTTCTGTTCCACCCATTTCTCCTCCCATCTTAAGCTCTGCCTGTTTACTGTTTACTTCATTAGCATGGAATT